TGTGAAAACTTTCTGGCATCTGACTCAGTGACCGAGCCTGTCTTTCTGCGATGGCTTCGCGTGCGAAGGCTCTCTGAGGGCTCCCTCTCGCCCTCGCCACCGCGGCCCTCCCACTGCAGCTCTGCTCTGCGCTTCTCCAGCCGTCTCCACAAATCCCTGCGGAGAGCCCTGCTCCTGCCCCCTCTCCAAACACCATCCCCTCGCCTTGCCTTCTGCCTCACGCGAGTTTTTCTAACTGGAACAGCCTGGCTGGGAATAAATCAGGCTGAAATGAAGCTTGGAGAGGTGAGCTCATCCCGAGACACAGCTCCGTGCCTACAGGAGACAGCCATACCTCATTTAGGAATCTAAATGTACCATCCTTCACGCACAGAGCCAAATTTCCCTCTCCCTTTTATTACATTTTATTAATTAGAGCAGCCTACATGTAAGTGCTTTAAGAAAAAAAACCCACCACTTTCTTCCAACTGTGCTGGTCTGACTCCAGTGCTCAAAAGACCGGTCAAAATGGGAAGACCTACGGAAAGAAAAGTTCTTTTTCTGCCCCACCTTCTGACTCTCACAGGCTGAAGGAAATGTGCTGTTCAAAAGCAAATATTTAGTAAATGACAAGCTGTGCCATATTTTTTCAGTGGCCTATTAGTCATGCCTCATCCAGATCCATAATCATGAAGTGGCCGATCATCTGAATCCATCTGCAGGGCTCTCAGAACCACACGGGTACCTGTAGCCTTCAGCAACGGCGTGTTGGGGGCATCTCACCCTGAAGGAGCATCTTGGGCAGGTGTTCAAGCTCCTGTCACTTTGCTCCAGCCATTACTCTGCTTTGCCCATCACCATGGGACCTGGCACGTGCCAGCACTAATTAAACGACAGAATTACAAGCTTTCCACTTGACTTATTCTACAGTCCTCCATTCTAGCACTTCATTACAGATCAAAATAAGACAATTCATGCAATTAGAAGACAACAGGCTGTTGAAGATGAGAAAATGCGGCGTTACCGACGATTTTAATGCCGGTGTATCTCAAAGTGAACCCTCTGTTGAAGACATCCTCAAGTTCCCAACGCATCCTCTACAAGGATCAGCTCCGGGGGAAGGACCCAGCTCACTGATTCTACCTGAACTGTATTAATTCAATATTGGACTCCAAAACTTCAGAAGGGAACCAAATTAACCCCCAAAAGTAAACATATAGTCTTAAACCCCGTGGAGGGAACAGACTTACGCGGTGTCAATTACATATCTTTATAATTGCCCAATTATTGGACCCTGACACAGATGTTTCTCAGTCTCTTGCACGCAAGAGCTGTGGCTTTAAGTGAGCTCCACTGTGCTGATTTTGGCATTTCTTTCCCTTTGGATTCTGCTGCAGTTTTACGTTCACCAAGGACTGAAGTTGGGAAAACATAGGCACTCCCTTACATATGAAGCTTTATTAAGTTGGGATCATGCTCTCTGTTGGCAGGCAGCGGAACAGAGAGACAGAGGAGAATGAAACCGGGAAGGGGAAAAAAAAAAAAAAAACCCAAACCAAAACACAAATAACTTTCACTCTTCAGAGCAGACACGCCTTCTTACTCCGATCATTCATCCCGCTCCTCTCCGCTCCCAGCCAGTAAAGAGTCAACATCTCACTCCTGTGAAAACATGAGCTACCCCGCTCCTGAGCCACAGACCAGAAAACACACTGACAGGGACTCGGGAGGATCCTGTTTCTTAGGATGGAGTTGCATTTCCACAGTAGAACCGAAATATCTTTGATTACAACAGAAGCAAGGTCAACGGTGCTTTGAAGCGTCTTATTTTTGCGCGGCGTGTGTATTACCTAACTCCGGGCTGGACCTTAACTCCTTCCTTCACAACCAGGGATGCATTCAAAGACTCCGCGGGGGGAAAGCGCCCAAGCGTGAATGATGAACACCATGTGCACACGTGTGTGTTTGCAGGAGGGATGTACTGTGCCGGGTGGTAGGTACGCACATCCAAGGAGGGTTTGGTCCAAGAACTGTGTGGCCCGAGGAGGGAGGCGAGTACGCACGAGCCCGGAGCTGCCGGAGCCGCACGGCGGGAGCACGGCCCCGCTCCCAAAACCCTTCCGAGCTTTTGCGTAACACGGATCAATGGGTCAGACTTCGAGTTTCCCAACAGCTTTCCCTGACAAATGCCAGAACAGATATGGGGGAAGTCAAGCAGGGCAGCAATAACAGCGCTGCCAACCAGCGTGAAAATTGGCAGAGCCTGGCACCGAGGACTGCCTCTCATCAGAGACGGGGCACGGCCCGGCACAATGACGAACCCACTTAACAGCGCTGTAAAATTAGCCATTTATGAAAACAAATTGAATACTGCAGCAGAGGGTGACGTAAGGAGAGTTGGCTCCAGACAGAAACAGAAACTCCTGTAGCCTGGATTAGCAGAAGAGCTCCGTTATATCAGGGCTCAGGCGTGGAAGCTGATAACAACTTGGGTCCTACAGGAGATTTTTAACAGACACAAACAGGCTTCCCCTATAGGCACACGTGTGGCTCCTATACGACTTGCCGTGACTACTTACTTACATGCCAGCAAGGGGGGATGGAAGGGGAGCAGTCAACACAGGCAGAGGGTGGGGGCAGAAAGTAGATGAAGATACAAGGAGGACTCCCAAAAAGAGGTGTCTTCCACTCAATTCTCCCCTGTCCCTCAGATCTATAGGGTCACACCATTTCCCACACTGCAGCTGGGATGGAAGTTGAGGAGAAACTCACTTCTGGCACTGTCAGCAAGTTTGAGCCAGTCCCTGCCCCCCCCGCAAACACCCAGAAGGGCTCTTGATTTCAGTGGGGTCCTACAGATGCAACTTCAACAGCAGAACAGGGCTCCCGAGTCTGTCACATCCCAAAACAGTGAAAATGAGAAAGCCAAGAGTTTTGGCAGCCAGAACCCTTGATTTCCTCATTGAGGGAAGCGTAATCTCTCCCTAAGCTTGCTGCAGGTCTGGGAGGCTGTGGTGTGCGGAGGATACTCCGAGTGAGTTCCTCTTGGACCTCTTCCAGGTGTTTACACACAGAGCCAAACCTGGCTCCTCTTCAAGAGTGCGTGTGAGGGGGGGAAGGGGAGCTTCAAAATAAAATAAAAATCACAAAGTCCTCCCGAGCTGAGCTGCAAGCTCTACGGTGCTAAACTGGGGCATTTCTTTTCATTTTTCACAGTGGAATGTTATTTCCATGCATAAAATGGGTCAAGTGTTTTATACAGGCAACAACCCAACCTCCCCCATCCAATTAAAGTATTTTACTACAAATGATCTTTGTGTGTGTTTGTCTAGGTTCCCTATTGTGTCAATGAGAGATACTTGCACCAAAGACAAACACGGGGTCTTAGGTGTTGGATTAAACACATTAAAAACCACAGCGACTGTGTTTTGCCACCGACCAGACCCGTGTAAACCCAAATTCCACCCTTCCCAACTTGAAAGGGAAGCACTTTGAGCCCTGGGGTTCGAGTTAAGATTGGGAACCAGGAGAGTGGAGTAGGAGAAAGCCAGAGGAAATAAAGCAAGTACTAATCTGTTTAACTTATGAAATCACTCATCTGCCTGTCCTACTGAAGGGACCAGCCCATGCCCGGCATCCCCTGCCCACCCCGCAGCCCCACACACCCCCCCGTGTCCCCCTCCCCAGGGCGAGCAGAGCAGCCGGGATCGGGGAAAGTTAAGGAAAAGCACTGCCGAGTTCATCTTAGTTTGTGTTTTCCTTCAGGACAAAGCCACTTTCCCGGGAGAGGCCAGTGGGGCAGGGACGGGGCAGGGGAGCTGGAGGGGCCGGTGGGGTGGCCGGGAGGGGAGAGCGGGGCTGGGGG